AAAATATAGGCAACAAAATTTCAGACATCACACGCAGCAGAATTTTCACTGATACATCACCTAAGGCAACAGAAACAAAGAAAAAAAATGAACACATGGGACTACATCAAACTCAACAGCTTCTGCACAGCAAAGGAAACAACCACCAGAAGGGAGAGGCAACCCTCTCTACGGGAGAGCGTAACTGCCAACGATACATCATACAAAGGGTTAACTTCCAAAATATAGAGTGTTCATACAACTCAACAAAATGAAGACAAAGAACCCAATTAAAAAATGGGCAGAGGAACTAAATAGACATCTCTCCAAAAAGGACATACAAATGGCTAAGAGACATAGGAAGAAATGCTCAACATCACTAATCAACAGAGAGATGCAAATTAAAACAACAATGAGGTATCACCTCACACCTGTCAGAATGGCCGCCATCAACAAATCACCCAGTAGACGAATGGATAAAAAAGCAGTGGTACATATACACAATGGAGTACTATGCAGCTGTAAGAAAGAAAGATCTCTTATCCTTTGAGACGACATGGAGGGACCTGGAAAGTATTATCCTAAGCGAAACAAGCCAAACAGAGAAAGACAAGTATCATATGATCTCAGTTATTTGTGGAATATAATGAACATAACAGTCTGAGGAATGGGGTAGTCCCAGAGACGTGGAAGTGGGGTACAGACTGACAATCCCCAGCAGAGGGGGGGGAGATAAACCACAGAACTTATATGCAAGTATGCATGAACAATGGACATGGACAACAAAGCTGGGAACAGGGTGGGGAGGGAGGGGGAGGAGAGAATCAGTGGGGGGGAACATCTGTAACAAAAATAGATTAATTAAAAAAAAAAACTGGTGAATAAAAATAAATAAAGAATACAATAAAATAAAAGGCCAAATGCGTTTTGAAAAATGGAAGCATCCCTAAAAGATGTGTCTGAACCCCAGACAATACAATCAGAATTTCTGGAGGTGAGGTACAAATACTGGTCATTGGCTCTAAAGCTCCCTCGGTGACCCCACCGTGAGTGCCACTGACCGAAGGCAAGGGACCGAGCTGCTCATTTCGGTGTCAAGCTGTGGGCCAGCCTGGAAGGCAGGTGATTCTAGCACAGAAGCATCTCTGAGCTGTCCTTTTTCATGGTCTTGCATGGTCTTAGGGTGAAAGATGGCAGCGAGAATTTAAGTTCGCAAAGCCACTTGTCTGTAACAGTGGGTCTTGATTTGTGGTTCAAGGTCTGTCAGCACCTCCGCCATCTGAGGGACCTGTTAGAATGCAGATCCCCAGGTCTCCCCTTAGAATGGACCATCTCTGCACATGATTTAGCGGCCAGGAGTCAGGAGCTGGGGCCAGGACTCCAGGTCCTTCCCAACTCCCCTCCATACTTCTGACCAGGAAGACTGAATCCCTGGCAGGAAACACATAACTTTGGACAACTTTAAATGAAAGGTAATTACTTAAAGCAGCAGAATAGAGACAACAGCAAAAATCCCCTTCCCCACCTCCCTCCAAAGGAATCCTCCACCAATTACTTTGGAGTAGCAGAACACCCTCCCTTTCCTTCCTGTTCCACTACATTCTTTCCCGTCTAACAAATATTCCCTTTTCTCTCTAATAAGGTCACTTGGAAAAAATAAAACCAGAACTCTGGTAATACTTTAGAAATCATCAGCATCTATAGGGAAATGATAAAAGCACTATATAAGGGAGCCGACCCCAGATCTCATTTTATGTGTACACATTTTCGTATTTTACATATCTCATTCAAACTGCAATAAAGTGTACTGTAAGTCAGAAGAGTAAGGTGGACATGTGGTTAGAAGGTGTTTGCCCATTTGGAATTGGTTGGGAATTTTTTAAAATCTGGGTGTTCTCAGTCCAGTACTTCCACGTGTACTTCTATGTTAAAAACCAGAACCATAAGGGAGGCTTGCACCTTATTCACACGTGGGTCCCTGTGCCGTGGAGTGGAGGGCAGGAGCGTGTTGGAAAAGCTGCAACGAGACGGCAAACCACCTCCACTCACGGCACCGTTCACACGCCGGTGCAGACGGCTCGGAAACACGCTTTAACTGCCACGGCTGTGATTTCAGTTTGTGAAATAAATTCTGCAGAATTGTTCCTGTATTGTTAGTGCGAATGTCAACTAGTACAACCCTTTCAGGATGCAATCTGGTAATGACCCTTCACTTCAACTTGATCCAGGAATTAAAGTCAGGGACCCCGCGGAAGGAAACAATCCGACAGATCAGAGATGTTCAGAGAAACACGATATGTAACAGGAGGCATGTGGAGGTGTCAACACCACAAACTAGGGCACAAGTGCCTCTTATCAGCTGGACTTCTGCTGAACGTTTAACAGAATCCTGAATGATGCAAAGTATTTCCACCGTTTATTTTTATAAACAAAGAAGCCAAGGAGGCGCTCAAAGGAAGAAACGGGTGAAGGACCTTGCCTCCTGTTGTCCGGCTGGTAAGAGCCGAATCTGCGCCTGGGAAGGTGGGGGAGGGGGTCTCCGATCCCTCCACAAGCTCGTGAGCAGGGAGAGTGAAGGTTACACCCACCAGTGTCCGATGGCTCGCGCAGCCTCTGAAGTCTTTGTAACAAGAACTGTGCTTCTGCTGAATGAGGATATTGAGGATGTGAAGCCTTATGTACAGTGGGATCTAAAATGCATACCCCGAAAATTTACAGAAAAAAGAAATGGACCACAATGTTAGCAAGGACTCTGTGTGGGAGTGGAGCTACAAACAAAGTAGGCAGTGGGGGACACGCTACTCTGGTTTTGTTACAGGAACAGGTGTGTGAAGAACGAGGAACAGACAGGTTCTGGCCACCTGGTCGTTACCGCCACGGTCCATCCGTGGGAATCGTCTCTGCAGGCAGACTGTGTTGTCCATGCTCTCGGCGGGTCTGTCCCAACAACAGGCTGAAGGGTCGTCCAGGTCAGCAATCCTGCGAGCACATGAGCCCGAGTCAGAGGAGAGCCTGAAGGGACGAAGTATGTCCCAAACCCAAACCACAGCAGTCCCCAGGAAAGTGACCAGCAGTCGAGGCCCGAAGGCGGCTTGAGAGACGGAGCCATGAAGGGGAGACCAGCCGGTGAGGAAGCTGCCGAGACCGACGCCAGCGCTGAGGCTGGGGCCCGCCTGGCATCTCTGGGGCGCGGGGACAGACATGAGGGCGACACGAGCGCGGTCTGAGCACTCGTACACATTCTCACACCGCAGAGCGCACGAGGCTGAAGCCGAGGCAGAAGCACTGACGTCCGACGGTTACATTTAGCTCTTCCTGGACTTCCCAAAGCCTCTAGTGCTTGGTATGGGCTGCAGCCGTGGCCTAAACATCTCAGGTAAGATCAAGTTCCTGTGACAGGCAGCCCTGGGGGGCGGGGGGCTCTTTTCCAAGGCCCCCCAGGCCCCCTGCCTTGCTGCTCAAGCCATTTCCTAGGGATGACATTCCTCTACCGGGCAAACTGTCTTGCTAATACCCCAATCCAGCTCCAGCCCGGGGGAGGAGGGAAGGGTGGGTGGAAGGACGTGACCCACTGTACACTTCATGTCCACTCACACCCCACGGACCAGAACCCAGGAAGCCTGTCTCCAGCTGGGCAATCTATACCAACGAACACTTTTCTAAAAGGAAGGGGAGCAATTGGCATCTCTCGTGGCTCAGTGAGCACCTCTGAACCAGTGTGGCAATTGCTCACATCCTTCACAGGAACAGAGAGAGGCCTGGAGGAATCAGCTCCTGGACACAGGGACTGAGACAATGGGAAGGAAGGACGATGAGGGGAAAGGGTGGCTCAGACCTCCAGGCCATTCCTCTGCTGGTCTGGTTACATGAAGCTTCTTCTTTAAAGGACTCTGTTCCCTGGATAGTTCCAGTAGGTGGTATTTTGAAGAGAAAAAAAGAAACCCTCCACCACCTCCCAGCCCTGTCCAGGTCCTCTCTGGCCTGCCCACGGGGCCACGGGGCCACTGTCCACAGGGGGACCAGAAAGTGAAAGCTGTCCCCAGGAAGCCCGGGGTCTAGTTGCAGCTCTACCAGCCAGGCCACGTGGACGTGAACTCCGCTGCCGCGTCTACAGAACGGGGAGGCGAACATGGTGGGGAAGCCCTCCCAGCTCCCACACAGAAAGGTCTGAACACAAGTCTTTCCTTTGCTGCCACGTCACCTAACCACTCATTTCCAAAGCAGCGAGTTTGAAAGAATGAAATCCTCACCATTCCACACAAACTGTGACTCTATACGAGGAAATGATTTTAACGGTACTGGCTTTCCTACCGTTTATATATTTAGTTTTGATCAAGATCGTGTTTGAAGAAAATATTTCAGTACTAAAAGGTTTGAAACCATCATACAAGAAATTATAGTAATTTGTGGTCTTAAGAAATCTATAGGGTGAAAAAAAATTTCCCCAAGAAACAATTATTGAAGAGTCAAGTGGCACAAAAGGACAATTTGATGACATGTTTCAGTTCTCCCTCCTGGTGTTTTAAGAGGGTCTGAGGAAATCCATTGCAGAGCACTGCTCACGTTTCATCTGAAGACCTGGAGGGACGTGGAGTAGCTGTCTTTGTGGGTGTGCCTCATCTAGGAAGGTAAGCTTTCAGGGCCCCGCCCCCTGTCACCTCACCCTGCGCCTGACAGACCTCCCCCAGCTCCGGCCTTCAGCCGGCCCAAGTCCCCGGGCAGCCCCAGCGCCACCCTCCAGCTCCCGCCTCTCCCCCAGCTGCTGTCCACACACAGGCAACCCAGCCACCCCACATGGTCCCCACGCAGGACCACTGCCTGTGACCACTCCTCCTCTTGGGGTATCACCAGTGTTCCACACAGGTCCTCTGCCTAATCCCGTGCCTGTAAACTGTACTGCATAAACCCATATAAACCCACAGGATTCCGGTAGACGAAACATCATCAAATGCCGTCAAAGTAAGACACACAAATGACGTCAAAATAAGACACAAACCTTCGTGAAAATAGAGTCATCAAATTTATTATTTTCATTAGGATGCCATTTATGGAGAATTCCTAGGACTAATGTTGCATGTTTCTCGACACACAAGAGTCAGCACTAATAGCTTAAGTTACTATAAATACTGCCGCCTGGAAGCAGGACAGGGTGTCGGCGTTCGGGACAGACGCTTCGCCAAGCCTCCCGTGATGTTACATCAGAAGGTTCGGAAGGGCTGGTTCGGGAGGTAGCCGAGGTGCAGGAACGATGTCTGCGCCTCCTTCTCAAGGGCAGCCAGCTCCTGAACGGTAGGCGCCAAGACATCCACGTGGCCTTTATAGCCTCCACCTGCATCACACACGTCACGGAGCAAGTGAGTGACATGCCTGGAATAACCTGTCAGCATACTCCGGGCTCAATCACATCCGTTTAAACATTGCTTCTAGCAATAAAAATGTACTACTGGGCAAGTTATCTCTAAAACTCAAGAGTTCTAAAAATGTTAAAGCAATGTAAATGCACGATTAGGCCTCGCTAACAGCTTTCCTGAGAGCTCCCTCCCTCCCTCCCTCCCGTATCTTCTTGATTTGGAAAACCACTAGTTTACATGCATCCTAACAAAATGTCAGGAATGAGGTAAGGGCCTCCAGGCAAAGGGAAGGGTAAGCTAGGTTACCACTTGAATTAAGTCAAAGAATTCTGATTCTTCATTCGAAATGACCACTCTACTAATTTCCTAGTGATTCTGTAAACGTCCGACTACTCTGGCGACGCCTCAGGAGAACCAGCGGTGCTGCCGCCCTGCTCGCACGCAGCCACGGGCAGGGGTGGACGCGGTGCTGTGCTACTCGAGTGAGACACACGTAGAAGTGCCCACTAACACGGCGAAATACACTCCCTTCTTAAACTGATGCTCAGAAAGGAAATATTAACATTTAAAATTGATTAAAAGTATTCAAAGCTTACCAGTAGCTGCCTTTTTTTGACCATAGGTAACCTTCCCGTCAAATTCATCCACCGATACCTTTATATCTGGCTCAATCTGAGAAATGGTGCAGTTCAGGTGTTCTTCTATATCAGACAGCAACTAGAAAGGGAGAGAAATAAAGCATTTTCAAATAAAAATTTCACTTTGACAGAGTCGCCTCTTAGCAGCATTTACTAAAACCAGGACACTATACAATATTTACTATAAATAGAAGCTAGATTTCTGAAGAGGAATCACAGTTACAACCTACAAACTCTAGTTAACAGCCCAGCTGGTGTGGCTCAGTGGCTGAGCATCGACCCAGGCACCAAGAGGTCGCTGCTTTGAATCCCGGCCAGGGTCCAGGTCGTGGACCCAATCCCCAGGGGGGGCATGCAGGAGGTGGCCAATTGATGTTCTCTCTCATCAATGTTTCTCTCTCCCTCTCTCTCTAAAATCAATAAAGAAAAAACAACAACAAAACCCTGTAGCTAACATTACCATCCACCACTCAATACTTTCCCCCCATAAGTGACAAGATAAATGCTAATAAACGTTTGCAGATCAATGCAGTCTACTTCCAGTGCCATAAGCTTCTGGCGCGTACCTGCATCTCGTTGTACCATATGGTGCAGCCGCCATCTTCCTTGAGTCTGGTGTTGTAACACCCTTTTCCACGACTGCTGCACACATGGTACCAGACCTAGAGGGAAAAGCATGAGCATGTGCAGAGACTGAACACGCAAGACAGCTCTGTTTTCAACTTGTTTTTTAGTATCTTCTGTCCTTAAGGCATAAGAAAAATAGATTGCAGGTATGGCAATTACTACCACCATTCAGTAGCTCATTAACTAGGTCTTCCAAAAAAACAGTTCTTGAAAATAAGCCAAACGTTTTTCTAAAATGGATGTCAGTTAGCCTGGCTGGTGTTGCTCAGTAGCTTGAGCATCGTCCCATGGACTGAGAGGTCCCAGTTCGATTCCCAGTCAGGGCACATGCCCGGGTTTCGGCTTGATCTCCAGTAGGGGTTGTGCAGGAGGCAACTGATGGATGTATCTCTCTCACGTCGATGTTTCTCTCTCCCCTCCTCTTTCCCTACGAAAAAAAATCAATAAGAACATATTAAAAAAAAAAGGTGGGTGTGAGTTACAGAAAGGCGCTCTCGGCAAACACGAGATGGAAGCGTCCCTTCTGGAGGATGCTGCAGCAGGTGGGCACCACAGCCGAGTTCGAGAGTCTTCCGGAAGAGGACGAAGCACAGAGCAAAGGGAACAGCTAGCTGGGCAACGATGTGTGAGAGTTCCTTGTTCTCACAACGTGTCATCTTATCCAAACAGTAAGATGCGCAGCCCCCGTCCCACCTCCCACCACGCCGGACAGGGTTTAAATATGTTTTGGTAACAACAATTACTTTGAAGCTATTAGATAAAATGACACTGTGCATCTTTCCTTCCAAACCCCATCCTATTATTTGTCCATTTAATGAACACAGTTTTTAAAAAGGCCACAAAAAGTTCATATTCTATGTGCAACCAAATTCAATGTAAATGGAAAAATCCAACTGCTTTTATTTCAACATCTAAAATAGCAACACAAACAGTGAATGTGATACCACACTGAAAAGATTACCTTCTCTTTTTCTGTCGCCACCAGGGAAATGGCCAGACCCATCCTGAAAGAGGGTAAGTGTGCATTAGAGCCTGGCCCCGAAACGCAGAAGCTCACACGAAGACGGGGGGCTGCCGTACCTTTCAGCTCTCCCCACTCGGCCAATGCGGTGGACGTAGTTTTGCTTCTCATCAGGCAGGCTGACGTTTATAACTGTAAAAGAAATCGGTTAGCACCAACTGCCACTGTTTCTAAATGTTTTGAAAATATTAGGTTTAGACTTTAAATTCCATACAATTCAATCTGCAGGCATAAAAGTTTCTTTTTACCATAAGGAACACCATGGACATCGATTCCTCTGGCAGCTACATCCGTGCAAATCAAGAACCTCACATCTCCTTTCTAGAGAACAGAAGAGAAAAGAATTGATTACCACACATGCAAAAAATAAACATCAACACTGTCTTTCCACTAAATGAGAACTCTGTAACTACCGTTACTACCAGAGGAGAAGTCCAGATAGTCCTAATTCTCTGGGCCAATTCTTGATTTTAAAGCTATGATTCACTAAATAAGACATTTAAGGTGAATAAATAAAAGACTGGATTCATTTTTTGCTTTTCTTTTTTCTTACATCAAAGGTATTAAACCACTCTAAAGTTTGGCTTTATCTTCAGAAATACTGAACAGTGATTCGAGAGGACAGAACAAACTATAAAAACATGAGCATTATTTTCACCCTTGCATTTAAATAAACTCGGAACACTAGGTGCTTTACCCTGACGTTACAGTTTCGTGAGGACAAACCCTAAAGGGGTGGAGAGTGCCTCCTGGTGCTCCCTAAGGAAACACATTAGCCTCCGGGCAGGGGCGCAGGGTAGAGATCTGGGGAGACAGAAGGGCTCGCTGGCCGCTGATCCAATACAATGCCAGATACAGAGGGTGGCACCTATGCGGAAATGAGGCCATTCGATGCTTTACCACCCACATCAATCCATGGGAACACGACCCAGAGTTCCTAAGTCCAGTACTTCTCTTCTCACCTCTCCCTACGATGCGTCAGAGAGAGTACACTGTGCACCAAGACAACACACGGTGAACAGCAAAGATCCTTGTGGGTGGAGGCTACTGACCTGGAGTCTTAAAGGGCTCAAGCCCCACCACCTACACCCAGAGATATAACCTATTCATGTGCTGTTAGTTGGGATGGTCTGCCCCAAACAATTCAAGCTATATTTAATTCTACAAAACTGTATTTTGACACCTGTCTTAAAATAATCTACATATAAGTTCTCTATGGGTATTACTATAAATTATTTTTTTAAAGGCTCACAGACCCAGTTTAATTATCAGATGATGCTTCTAAAAATATCTACCTGGAAGAATTTAACTAAAACTTTCTCAAATTGAAAATTCTTCTTACAGCAGTGTTATGTTGACAAAGAATGTGTAATTTACCATTTGACCTTAAAGATGACTAAGCCCGGCCATGAAAAGGACACACCAGAGTTGGGACAGAAATACTTTGAAATTTCTAGGACAGTAATTGCTTTATGAATGTTAACTGGAACTGATTAAAACCAGATACACTGCCTCTCCAATATTAAGGAAATGCAGACAACTACGTATCAATACCTTAAATCGTTCCAAGTTTTGCTTTCTCTCATGAGGCTTTCTGTCACCATGGAGACAAACACATGAGAACTGGTGTCCTTTTTTATCAGATCCTGGTGAAAAGCAGATTAAACTGTTAACCGTGGAAAACATTACGCCTAAAACTGTGATTACAATGCCACCCTACGAGTCTATTAAATCTTTGCCACAAACCATCGTGAACACACTAGGCAAAGTGCCCTGGCATTAAAATGGATTTTGCTTTGAAGGACATTGTAAGTCATCTGGCCCAATCTGCAGGAGCAAATAAAGCAGAATGCCAACAAAAATGATTAATAAGAGGAAAATACACGTGGACACCAGGAACTTCACCCATACCATACAAAGTGAAAACCCAAAAAGTAGGCAAAAGAAGTCATTCTTGACAGAACCAAAAGTCCATAACCTTACTAAAGGCCACGCCCACAAGCCTGCCCTCCTCAAGGTGGAAGCAACTCAGTCATGCGGTTTCCTGGCCAAAGCCGATTGAAGCAGCAAACTCAAGGACAGGGAGGTGCCACCTTAGAGGCAGATGCAGTGGTAGCCAATCCTAACAAAGAAATTTTTCTTTTATTTTTTTGAATCCTCACCTGAGGATATTTTTCCATTTATCTACAGAGTGGGAGGGGGAGACAGAGAGAAAAACATTGATGTGAGAGACATCTACGGGTTGCCTCCCGTATGACCGACCAGGGCTGGGGACTGAACCGCAACCGAGGTGTGTGCTCTTGGCCAGAACTGAACCCGCGACTCTTTGGTCTGTGGGCCGACACTCTAACTGCTGAGCCAAACCAGCCAGGGCACAAAGAAACTTTTCAAATAGACACAGGAACAAGAAGCAGTACAGAGTAAGGGCAAACAGCTTTCTGGAAGTAACAGAACCTGTAGATACAACTACGATGTAGCCCAGAACAACATTTACAAAACTCAAGGAAACAGGACATTCTGAAAGGTATGGACAAGTGACTAGTACAGAAATGTATCACGAAGCGGAGACACAACAGCTCACCAAACTTACACAGCACACTGAGGTCACGCCCCACTGGGAATTCATGGGACTCAGGGAGCATCACACCCCCCCCCATGCCCTGGGTGAGGTGCCTGCAGACTAGGGCGGGACCCTTTCTTCCTCTGAAACCCTGGAAGCAGGTATCTGTTGTTTTGAGTTTAGTAATGGTTCAGGAAACTTGTTTTCTTGACAGAGGCAACCAGAGTACGTAGAGAGAGAAAGAAAAACGAAAGAATATTACTGCTTGCCCTGGCCGGGTGGCTAAGTGGTTTGGAGTGTTGTCCTGTACATCAAGAGGTTGTGGGCTTGATTCCCAGTCGGGGCACATATGGGAGGCAACTGATCGATGTTTCTCTCTTACATGGATGTTTCTCTCTCTCTCTCTCTCTCTTTCTCCCCCCCCCCCAAAAAAAAAAATCAATGAAAACACATCCTTGGGCCCTGGTCGGTTTGGCTCAGCAGTTAAGAGCGTCAGCCTGCGGTCCAGAGAGACCCAGGTTCAGTTCCCACTAAGGGCACGTACCTTGGTTGCAGTTTGTCCCCGGCCCTGGTTGGGTTGTGCGGGTGGCAACCACTCAATGTGTCCCTTACATGTCGATGTTTCTCTCTCTCTCTCCCACTCTATCTGAACAAAAAATGAAAAAATGTCCTCGGGTAAGAATAAAAAAAAATATATATTCTTGGGTAAAAATTAAATTAAAAAAAAAAAAGAACATTACTACTTATCAACAACATTTCTAACCACATAATCAAATCCTCCACTCAAAACCAAAGCAGACAAGAAGAAATTTTTATTACAAAACAGTCACTATAACTAAAATAACCAAACAAGTCTGTCTGTCAGGGCTTAAACATTAATAACTGTTCACTATAAGGAGTGACATTTTCTTTACATGATTAGTTCAAACTTTTTAAATGTTCGAATTTTTCACCTTTCCAATCTCCTTGATGTACATACAGTAAGAGATGTGCTAAAGTCTTCTCCACTATGAGAACAGGATTTGTCCTTTACCTTTAAGTCTGTCAACTTATATTTATATATTTTTCCAACTTCTATATTTTCGAACGCATAGCCAAGCTGACCGAATGCTAACAGTGAGTAGCTAGTATCTCACCACCTAAATTCTAACATTTACTAACCCTGCTGCACCACTTCTCTGTCTATCCTGCCTGTCCTTCTAGTCACTCATCTCTGTATTCTCCACGCATTGGCACGCAGACTGCACATATCAGTGCACACTTCAGCATGGCACCATTAAGCAGAGTGCAGGGTTTGCTCAGTTTTTTTCCTTTCTTCTGAGGTAAAAGTTACATATAATGTACAAATCTTAAGGGCACATTTGCTGAGTTGATAAGTGCACACACCTACATAGCCCAACGCCCTATGAAAAGACACTGAACAAGAACACCACCCTGCAAAGTAGCCTGGTGCCCTTTCTCAGCATTCCCCACTCCTACCCCCGAGGACAAACACCGTTCTGGAGTTCCCCCAGCAAAGATTAGTCCGACCCTTCCCAAACTCCACACAAATCGAGTCATGCAGTATAAAGATTTCTTTCTTTCAGCATAAAGTCTGAGATTCCCCCACAGTCGTCGAGTCTATCTGTGGCCCATTCCTTCTCATTATATTCCCATGTATAAATATTTCAAACGTTGTTTAGCCATTCTCCTACTGATGGTTATTTAGTGTTTTAGTTCTGAGTCACTATAAATACAACTGCTATGACCATTCTTGCACACATCTTTTGTCAATACACGCTTTCACTTATCTTGGGTAAATACTTAGGAGTTGAACTGCTAACCTGTAAGACAGCAATGTTTAACTTTAAAAAAAATAATAATTCTACTGATTTTTCAGAAGAGAGGAAGGGAGAGAGAGAGAGAGAAACACTGAAGTGAGAGAGATACATTGATCGGCTGGCTGCCTCCTGCACGCCCCCTACTGGGGACCAAGCCCCAAACCCGGGCATGTGCCCTGACTGGGAATCAAAGCGGGACGGCGCTCAGTCCTGAGCACGCCAGCCAGGCTGGAGGCCTTTCGCCAAAGTGGCTGTGCCAGGTGCAGCCTCAACGAGAACCTGTAGGTGCTCCAGCTGCCCCAGATCCTCACAAAAGCTGGTGCTGTGTTTTCACCTGGTCATCTCAATGTGTCAGCGGCATCACACTGTGATTTTATTTGAACTTCCTTCACAGTGATTATGTTGAGGATTCTTTCATGATAGTTTATATATTTGATGTATAAGGAGCATAAAATTAGAATCATTGTGCCCTTTCGCTCAGTGGTTAGAATGTCAGCCTGTGCACTGAAGGTTAGTGGGTTTGATTCTGATCAAGGGCACAAACCTGGGTTGCAGGTTCTATCCCCGCCCCAGTTGGGGTCAGGCAGGGAGGCAACAAATCGACGTGTCTCTCTCACATTGATGTTTTCCTCTCCCTCCCTCCCTCTCTCTAAAAATCAATGGAAAAATATCCTCTGCTGAGGATTAACTTGCCTCTCCTGCAAAAAAATGTAGAATCATTGTCTTCATTGTAGACTTATTATTTTATTATACAGTGACCCTTTTCATTTCTAGTAATATTTTTGTCTTAAAGTCTATTACATCTTCGACTAATACAGCTAGACTTAAATCATAGCTTATTCTTTTGGTTAACATATAAGCTGATATAAACATAAAGATGTTTTCATTCCCGTCCTCAAGTTTCAGCTATACTTCTGGTAAACAGCATATAACTAGATTTCATCCACTCTAACAATTTGTGCCTTTTAACAGACTTCAGTCCAATGATACACTAGTGTTCATGCATATATTCAGGTTTTTCCATCAGCCACTTTACTCTACAATTACTGTCTGCTTTTTCTCATTTTCCCCTTCTTCCTTTCCCTATTAGCCTTTCTTTAAATTAAGGTTTTTTTCCTCATACACTGACTCAGAAGACATACATTCTATTACTTAATGACCTATACTTGAAATTTTAACGTTAAAATTAATAACGTCACCCTTCTTCCAAATGACTTAAGGTTGAAGCCCAGGGACCCGCGCTCACTGTGACGACACTCCCTGTGGAAATGACCGCATGCTGAGCAGGCACACAGTCAGGGCGTGTCACCGCTCTCGAGTCTGGGTGTGCATCCAGACTGCATCACATGACACTGGCAGCCGACTAAATGAGGGAATAAGCACAACTTATTTCAAGTAAGAAAACATTACCTCCTTCTTGTTGCATAAAATACTGCTCCAAGTTATCACAGTCGATCTTGGTTCTGCAGAAAATAATCGCTTGATCCATCTTGTGCTCCTTGACTGCTCGGACAGCATACTCCCCCTTCAGGATCTTAATAGCTTCAGACCACATCTCTTTACACCACAATCACAACAACAAATAAACAACATTGCAATATAAAATCGCCGTGAACACAAGTAATCATTCTCAGACTTACTGCTCAACTCATCTAAAAAAAACTGCTCTACTTCAAGAACTTCAACTGCTTTAATTCAACAAGAACAAGAAATAATAAGATAGGGTGAAATGGTGAGATATTCCTTTTGCTCATTTAGTTTTGTTTCTGTTAATGTTTTTGATGCCAGTTTGTGGGGGTACCAAAACACCTATAACCACACCTCTCATGAGGGAAACACACACACACACACAAATAAATAAACAGAAATACCCACAAGCTCTGTTCTTACCTCTTATGGAAAATTAATTCTATTGTGCTTCACGTTAACTTCCCTAAATGTGCCATAAAGGTTTACTCAGTCATTTTAACCCCATTAAAAATAAGTAATGTACTTTCTAAATTAACCTAAACACCAGAAAGTTCACACTTCCCTCTATGGAGGAATAAAAACCATACATCAGATCTAGTTAGTAATTTCTTAGTCACCAACCCCCAAATCTTTATTTTTCACTGTGAAGCTGGGCTATAACTCAACTACCTAATGCAAACTTTAAATCTGTAACCCAAAATATTTCTAAGGTTTCCGTGGTCATCTCTAACTGTAGCATAAAACCAACCAAAGTTTTACAAGGAAAAATAAGCGCAGCAGCTGACACCTCTGTGGTGCAGAGCGCGTTCTCTCGCAGCTGGATCCCGCGCGGCTCTGGACCAGCAGGCTCGCTCCGCTCCAACAGCAGGCTACCTGAGCGCACACCTCACACGTGGAGCTGGTGTAACTCGGTCTGAAGGAACTCTCTTAATTAAGGCTCCAGGTAGCCCACCGAACCAAATGCAGCCCAACCCACGCCAAGCACCCACTTGAGGGATCTGATATCAGACATGCGGCCTAATGGGTTTAAGATCCATCCCAGGTTCTGAGCACTGTCCTTGTATCGTGATGCAGCTTCATCAGTTTTTAAAACATTATGTACATAAAACAAATTGTCTCATCTCTGCCCACTAATATCTTCATTGGATTGGGCTTTAAAATAAGTCTTTCTAAAAACTGATGAATATTTAATGATATGAAGTTTCAGTTTGGGAAGATGAAAAAGTCTGGAGATGGATGATGATGATGGTTACACAGCAGGAATGTACGTCAGCCCACTGAACCGAACACTTAAAAATGGCTAAACCCACCCAGCCAGTGTGGCTCCGTGGTTGAGCGCCAACCCACACACCAAGAGATCGCCGGTTCGATTCCCAGTCAGGGCACATGCCCAGGTTGTGAGTCAAATCCCCAGTGAGGGGCATGCAGGAGGCAGCCAATCGATGTTCTCTCTCATTGATGTTTCCATCTCTCTCTCCTCCTCCCTTCCTCTCGCTCTAAAATCAATTAAAAAAAAAAAAAAGGTTAAACCCAACTTGATCTGAAGTGGATATGACAGAATGAGGTGTACGCAGATGAAAGGTGCTGGTGAGAAAATTAACAGTAAAGAATTGACCTTGTCCAAAAGGTTCTGGGAGGTACCCTCTAAGCCCCTGAAATGTCCTGCCTGTCTTTATTTACATGGTGGGCATGGCCTATGCTATAATCCATGCTAACAAAGCTATTTACGATGGGGCCTTGCGCCACACAGCATCAGCTCAAACTCTGGAGGGACTGGAGACCACCCTCTCTGTAACTCTTTATTTTTTTTATCCTCACCTGAGGACATTTTTCCATTTTTTGTTCAGATAGAGTGGGAGGGAGAGAGAGAGAGAAACATCTACCTGAAAGTGACACATCGAGGGCTGCCACCCACATGACCCAACCAGGGCCGGGGACAAACTGCAACCGAGGTACGTGCCCTTGGCAGGAACTGAACCTGAGTCTCTCTGGACTGCAGGCCGACGCTCTGACCGCTGAGCCAAACCCGCCAGGGCCTCTCTGAAACTCTTTATATATGCCTGCCTTCCACTCTGACCCTGCTGCTCACCACAGCAGTGGCAATCTCTCTGGCTTCTTACGATTGTTATGCCACCTGGCCTGTGTGTGGGAGAGGTGGGGCCACCCTAACATCCCACTGCAATCACTGAGCCCAGTTCAGAAACAGCTTCCCCTACTATTAACCTGGTCTACCGAGGAGAGCCACTGTGGAACTTACGATTCCGGTACCTATGATCAGTGAGAATTCTATAATATACAGTATCTGTGATTTAGATGCCAGAAGACTATTATCTTTTTTTTTTTATTATCCTCACCCGAGGACATTCTTTGTTCAGGTAGAGCGGGAGGGAGAGAGAGGAGGAGAGAGAGACAGAGAGAGAGAAACATCAACGTGAAAGGGACACATCGAGTGGCTGCCACCCACATGACCAACCAGGGCCGGGGACAAACTGCAACCGAGGTACATGCCCTTAGCGGGAACCGAACCCGGGTCTCTCGGGACCGCAGGCCGACGCTCTAACCGCTGAGCCAAACCGGCCAGGGCAGAAGACTAATATCTTAAATTCAATCATTAATACTCCTCTAAGTTGGTTTTATTTTCATATTTCCTGTCCCATTTTTAGAGATCACTTCCAGTCCTTCAAGAGGGTAAACAGGCATAAACTCAATAAATCAAACCAATTTGTTTTCCTAATCTTTCAACGTATTCTATTGATATATTTTACTTACCTGGACTGTTACCACCAGGTCTTGTGTTATCTTTTGCATGTACTTCATCTGTCTACCAAAAGGAAAGAATAAAAAAGGGGTAAGGATTGGTTAAGCAACAATTCAGAACAGGTGCCATTTTTTAAAAAAAGAGAACTGTATTTACCTTTAGACCGCATTTCCGACATACACCTCTATAATCTAAAGGCAAAACTATTCTTGAGATTCAGAAAAATTGTTATTAACTGCAGGTCTAAGGCTAACCAATTTTAAATACAATAAAAACACAAAGGTGGTTTTTGTAATTTTGTTCACAATGAACATACCCTTATATAAAGACCAATCTAAACGCAATGGGAAAAACAACACGATGCATACGTGAAGTTGATTTTTGAAAAAATAAGGCACATCAAGAAAACACTGAAGTACTACTAAAAATGGAAATCATTGTGTCTGAAATCAGATTTTTATATGCAGGTAATCAATCCTATTTACTTATACACATCGTAGCAAAAGCAACTTTACATAGAGAAAAATTAGAGAGGCGTCCACCATTTATTCCCTGCCTTAAAGGTCTCAAGTTTTCCTAAACTTATGCTAAACTTCTCTGTACTTAGGTACAATATCTGGTTGTCTTAACATCACTAAGAGCCCAAGGTTAAACTAGTTTATGACTGCTTTACCGTACACAAATGGAAGCATTAAGAAGCACTCACTCGAATGTGGTTTTTCCCAAGCCTCTCCCAGAGCCTGTCAGCTTTGGGATTCACTGGGACAACCACATGGTGCACAGTATCTGGAACGGAATCTTCTCCTTTTAAATCAACCCACATGGGAAAATGCATTATCTTCTCAGACAGTTTCTTTACATCAAAAGAATGCAAAGTAGCAGAGCAAACAATCACCTAAGAATAAAAAAATCAAAATTTAGATCACTTTTATAACGACAGTAAGTCTGCCTATGAGGCTGATGGTCACGGTTGCATTAGCCTGGAATCTAAGGCCCAGCCCGACGCCCGACTCCGCACCGCAGCTGTGCTGTGCGCCCGAGCCCCGGCCCTCAGCGCCAGCGATCACCACAGCTGTTCCGCAGGCCCTACGAAAGCTATGTGAGATGAGAAGGTTTGCAAGACCTAAAACTGTAAGCTCAGACTTACCTAAAAACTTACAAACTTATCTAAACTATTTTTATCTTTTTCTCTTGAAAACCTCTATCAATCAAATTCGTCCTAAGAGAAAGATGATAAAAATAAGAGTAATATTTTTTAAAATATTATTAAAGAAATAACTGTTTTTCAACAGCTCAAGGTATTTTCCCTTCAAATAGAAACAGTATTCAGTCTGGAATATAAACTCTAAATGCTCTGTAGAAAAAACATTAAAAGCTTTTTAGTACCGTCTTCTGTAACACTTAAGTAACTTTCTCCGATTCCCTTCTTTATTCCCAAAGCAGCTTCACGACGGTTCCCTTTGTGTGCGCTGTGCTATCAAGCACTGAAAAAATGTGCTACAGAGCAGTCAACTTAACCAGAGAACACTAACACAAGGTGTAAACGTCACACAAAAATTAAGCATTAACACGCAATGATTATTTACATGTCTTTAAGATGCGTCTGTCATTTCTTACCTGGAGTCTTTTTTCATCAGAGGTAATCTGAGGAATCTGACTGTGAATCCTGTTTATAAAATCAGAGTAACCTTGCGAAAGAAGCCCATCCTGCATGGGAAGCAAAGAAAAGCATAAGTTTTTAAATCAGTATCAAAATCCTTTTTTCTAAAACAAACACAAAATGTAAGATGTGGAAACTAATTCATAGAGATACATATCCTCATATTTTCTAAATGATGATTTCCTATTGATGCCCAGAGACAAGTTATAAATTCAGTCTTAACCCCGTGTGACTGACACAGGAGAAAGCTGGCACTAATCAGCGCAAACACCACACCCGATATTCGTGAACGAGCACAGGAGTCAACAGCTCCTACCACGTGGCCTGAGCACAGGATTTTAACATGGAAAACAAGACAAAAACCGGTGCTGAAAACTACTTCAACCCATCCTAAAAATAATCTGGGAGCATGTCTTAAGAGCCTCAAGCACATTAATGTCTTTTTACACAGTTCACATTTTGCAACTATGATATAAAAAAATAATTTGTAATGTATAAAATAATTATGTACAAACAAAAATAACTATTTAGAAAGAAAAATAAACCTACATATCTAGTAATAAGAGCAGTTAAATAAACAGTTAAGTATCCATATGACAGATCATTAGACAGCCTTTAAAATCTTTTATGGCCCTGGCCGGTTTGGCTCAGCGGTTAGAGCGTCGGCCTGCGGTCCGTAGAGACCCGGGTTTGGTTTCCGCTAAGGGCACGTACTTCGGTTGCAGTTTGTCCCCAGCCCTGGTTGGTTGTGCGGGTGGCAGCCACTCGATGTGTCCCTTCACGTCGATGTTTCTCTCTCTCTCTCCCTCCCACTCTATCTGTACAAAAAATGGAAAAATATCCTCGGGTGAGGATTAAAAAAATAAAATAAAATAAAATAAAATCTTTTATGAATAACATGAAATATTTATAATACTACATTAAAAAAAAAAAAGATTTCCTAGATTCCTCAAAGTCTGATTTCAACTATAAAAAACATTTACATAAATATAAGAAGTGGATGAAAATATACTAAACTGATAATGATTATCTCTAGATATTGGAATCATGACTGAATTATATTTTCAATTCATTTTGCAGATTTTATCTCCAAAAATAAAAGCCAACACTTTTAAAAAGTATAACTAATTTCAACGTACGGCTTCATCCAGAACCAGGAATCTCACTTGGGATAAGCTCAGCTTTCCAGTTGACACCAAATCATCTAGTCTTCCCGGAGTCCCCACGACTATGTCCACCTGAAAAACACCAAACAAAGCCCCTGATGAGAACTGCAGAACCGCTGGATCACCATAAGCAGCACCCACCAACTGTCCACTGATGATACACCGTGCACACGAGTGTCACCTTTAACTCGGAATTTGTAAATACAGGAAATAGATCGTGCCATATTATCAAACTTATATTTGGTTTGAGAATAATCGGAAGAATTTGGCCAACTGAGTTTGACATCCTTAAATGTTATAGTCTAATATATAAAATTTGTATTTTCAAGCAAAAATCAGATGAATTTATAGGAACGCTGAAATTCAAATCCCAGTTCTGCCACTACCCAGCTGTGTGACCTCAACCTACTCACTCTCCCCTAACGTCCCTTGTCTCATGTGTGAGTGGAGTGCACTTCTGCTCTGCAGAGATGATGTGGCAACCGAGAGACGAGGCAAGCACTGGTGCCAGGGCGCTCGGAGCCTCGGCAGATGTGGGCAGTCAGCGGCAGTGACGCTCCGCTGTCCAGGAAAACAGCAACAATTACCACTCGCCAAGTGCTTCTCAGAAACAGGCACTGTGCTGAACTTTTACAAGTACTATGTCGTTTCATGTTACCACTAAGGTACATACTACTATCGTTATCCCTATTTTAAATAAGAAACTGAAGTTTAGAATATGAAAGTCAAAGGCACTTAGATGATACAAGTAGTAATAACTACACTGGGATTCAAATGTGAGAAAACAGTTAATTCAAATAAAAACAAGTTTTACTTAATTCTTTATTATAAAAATTTTCAAACATACAGCCCTGGCTGGTTTGGTGCAGTGGTTAGAGTGTTGGCCCATGGACCAATGAGTCGTGGGTTTGATTCCAGTCAAGGGCACACACCTCGGTTGCAGTTCGTCCCTGGCCCTGGTCAGGGTCTTGTGGGAGGCAACCAGTCGATGTGTCCCTCTCACGTTGATGTTTCTCTCTCTCTCCCTCTCTCCCACCCTATCTGAAGATAAATAGAAAAATATCCTTGGGTGAAGATATAAAAAAAAATTTTTTCCAAACATACACAGAGAGAATAATAGTACGATAAACTCTCATGCCCATACAACTAACATTCCCATTCTGCCCCTATACGTGTTGTACTCAGGCCCCTAGATATAGTGATCAGGAACATGGGCTTCGCAGTAAGCTCCGCCCTGAGCTGTAATATCGAGTACAAGCCCTGGTCCTACTCCGTAAAACTGGGGATGAGTGCCATCTCAGAGGGCTACTGGGAGAACTAAGTACAAAAATGAGGTATTTAGCGCCAGGCCCATTCGCTGAAAGCAGTCAATAAAAGTTAAGTTTTTTCAAAGTGCACTCGTGGATGGATAGATGTGAAAACAAATAAGGTTTTACATAAAATCATTCAAACAAGTCAAACCTTCCACTTCTTTATCGGTAAGCACGAAAAATCACTTGTACTCTTTTCCTTTTCTCCACTCAGACTAAAAGGTAATGTCCTCCTAACAAATGCATCCCTCTAGCCTCATTACTGCCCCATCTAGCCCTGGAAAGAGTGGAATTCTGCTGAATGGACTTTCCACTGGCTCCAATACAAGGCATTCAGATTCCCATGAAAAATAAGACAGACATTTCTGAAGTTACTGTTTCACTTGTCCTGATAACCAGATGTACCCTAGAGAACTGCTTCAGAACAGAAGGTAAAGCCTGTCGCTCAGTGTATGAAGAATGAACTCGATGCCAAGCGGTGTGACAGGTGCAGGGCACAACAGTGAATGAAGTGCCCTTCTGGTCTGCGTGTATCCTCTGTTGAGTGCAGGACTCTAACACACCACCTGAGTTCCCTCCCTCCTCAATTTCAATAGGTAAAGTCAGCATGAAAATCGTAAATTCGCTCAGGTTTAAAAAGAAAAACAAAAAACTCAGTTAAATTGGAAAAGCCTGAGCGATATATGAATATGACTTACATCATGATACCAACTACTCCACCAGGTCTCAACCACACGTCACATAATGCTGCAACTTTAAAAAGTTTTTTAAGCCCTGGCCAGTTTGGCTCAGCAGTTAGAGCGTCAGCCTGCGGTCCCGGGAGACCCGGGTTCCTTTCCTGCTAAGGGCATGTACCTCGGTTGCAGTTTGTCCCCGGCCCTGGTTGATCGTGCAGGAGGCAGCCACTCGATGTGTCCTTTTCACGTCGATGTTTCTCTCTCTCTCTCTCTCTCTCTGAACAAAAAATGGAAAAATGTCCTCGGGTGAAGATTAAATAAATAAATAAAAAGTTTTTTAAATTAAATAGTTCTACTCTTTCACCCAAAGCTGACTTCTGCACAGCACATACACAGGCTGAGCCAGAGGACAGTGGAGACAACAGACAGACAGAAGGTAAGATGGGAAGCAGCACAGCAAGGGAATGTGCTGCATCCCTGAAACAGAAGGGAACGGAGTCCTCCAAGAAAGCTAGGAAGGACACTGCCCTGACTGCCCTGCCATTAGCTTCAGCCAACACCGCGTCTTAGCTGTGACCGATGGAAGCAGATCCAAACCTCCAAAAGCTCTGTAGCTGAAAGATATGAGTTAAGAAATTTAGTAACTAACAAAAAAAAATGGATTTGGGTTTAGGGACCCAAGACTGGGAATGAACATGTAAAATATCTCTTACCACCACTAAAATAAAATACACTAAATAAGAACATATTAAAGTAATATTACTATCTTAGACTAGTATTAACAAGTACAGTATATGATTCCTTGCTCTTAATATGCCGTGCCAGGCCAAGTCTAAATCAGCATGCAATTTCATTCGGTGGGTGCCCATGTAATGGGAGGGAGGACATATCTGACCTCCATGACGCAGTATCAGGTGGTTTAGTTGAAGAATAAAATATTTAGAGAAGGAAATGGAAGACAAATTTGTAAGGAAGAAGTTACTTCATACATATAAAATATTTTGTAAGGTCCTACCCTTATTTAGCTTCACAGAATTGATGAACACAGTTAATTTATCAAACTTCTCCCCCACTAATAAAGACCACTCTTAGCTCTCTCCTTTATAAACACATGGCTGAGCACAGCCTTTAAGACTTCCCCTTACAAGTATCGGAACTTATCTTCCTCCTACTGGACGTCTGGTCATCCTTCATCCATACTAAGGACCTCTGCCATCCATTCTCTTTCCATTTCTATTCTTTTTTTTTGTTTGTTAATCCTCACCCAATGATACTTTTTCCATTGATTTTTAGAGAGAGTGAAAGGGAGGAAGGAAGAGGAAGAAAGAGAAACATCGATGTGAGAGAGAGACACTGGTTGCCTCCCCACACACTCCAACGGGGGCTGGGGATAAAATCTGCAACCCAGGTACATGCCCTTGATTGGGAAATCAAACCCATGACCCTTCAGTGTAACCACAGAGCCACACCAACCAGGGCCTATTTCTATTCTTAATTCATTTCTTCTTTTTCAATTATTCCTCCTTCCTCCCCCACATCCAAAAGAACACTTAATTCATGAAAGTGAGAAGGAAATTCTCAGGTGCTCAAAAGGCATGAGGGGTTTGGAGGAGACTGCTGCTCTGAATACTTCAAGGAAGAAAAATCGTACCTGTGAGATGTCTTTGAGCAAATTTATGCTTTTTTTAAAAATTATTTTTGTTACAGATCTTTCTTTTTCCCCCACTGACACCCTCCTCCCCATCCTCCCTACCCTGTCCCCAGCTTTGTTGTCTGTGTCTGTGGGTTATGCAATACATGCACACAAGTTCTGTGGTTTATCTCTTTCCTCCCTCCCACCCCCTCTTCTGAGGGCTGTTAGTCTGTTCCCCACTTCCACATCTCTGGGTCTACCCTGTTCCTCAGACTGTTATGTTCATTATATTCCACAAATAAGTGAGATCATGTGATATTTGTTTTTCTTTGCATGGCTTATTTCGTTTAGGATAATACTCTCCAGGTCCCTCCATGTCGTCGCAAAGGATCAGAGAACTTTCTTTCTTACAGCTGCATAGTACTCCATTGTGTACCTATACCACAGCTTTTTTTTTTTTTTTTTAATCCTCACTCGAGGACATTTTTCCATTTTTTGTTCAGGCAGAGTGTGGGGGAGAGAGAGGAACAGAGAGAGAGAGAGAAACATCGATGTGAAAGGGACACATCGAGTGGCTGCCACCCGCACAACCGACCAGGGCCGGGGACAAACTGCAACCGAGGCACATGCCCTTAGCGGGAACCGAACCCGGGTCTCTCCGGACCGCAGGCCGACGCTCTAACCGCTGAGCCAAACCGGCCAGGGCTACCACTGCTTTTTTATCTATTCATCAACTGATGGACATTTGGGCTGTGTCCAGATCCTAGCAATTGTAAATAGTGCTGCTACAAACATGGGGGTATATATATTCTTTCTGATTGGTGTTTCAGGCTTCTTAGGGTATATTCCTACAAGTGGGATCACTGGGTCAAATGGCAGTTCAATTTTTAATTTTTTGAGGTAACACCATAGTGTTTTCCATAGTGGCTGCACCAGTCTGCATTCCCATCAGCAGTGTACTAGAGTCCGCTTTTCTCCACACCGTCACTAACACTAGTTGTTTGATGATTTGTTGATGGCGGCCATTCTGACAGGTGTGAGGTGATACCTCATTGTTGTTTTAATTTGCATCTCTCTGATGATTAGTGATGTTGAGCATGTCTTCATATGCCTCTTGGCCATTTGTATGTCCTGTTTGGAGAGGTGTCTATTTAGCTCCTCTGCCCATTTTCTAATTGGGTTCTCGGTCTTCCTTTTGTTGAGTTGGAAGAGCACTCTATATATTTTGGAAATTAACCCCTTATCTGATGTATCAGTGGCAATTATACTCTTCCAGAGAGTGGGTTGCCTTTCCATTTTGTTGGTTGTTTCTTTTGCTGTGCAGAAGCTTTTCAGTTTGACATATGGACAATACTTTTTTGACCTTGTTTTAATTTCAGCCACTTTTGACATTTCTTGAAACACAACACAACTATATTGCCAAAAAGACCGCCCAAGATGTTACTTTTTAAAAATTAAAAGTACAATTCGCAAATCCATAAATGTGATACATCACATAAATAAATTGAAGAATAAAAACCACATGATCATATCAATAGATGCTGAAAAAGCCTTTGACAAAATCCAGCATCCATTTCTGATAAAAACGCTCAGCAGTGTGGGAATTGAGGGATCATACCTAGACATAATAAAGGCCATATATGAAAGACCTACAGCCAACATCATACTCAATGGGCAAAAACTAAAAGCATTTCCCTTAAGAACAGGAACAAGGCAAGGATGCCCACCTTCGCCACTCCTATTTAACATAGTACTGGAAGTCTTAGCCACAGCAATCAGACAGGAAGAAAAAATAAAAGGGATCCAAATTGGAAAGGAGGAAGTGAAATTGTCATTATTTGCAGATGACATGGTACTGTACATAGAAAACCCCAAAGACTCCACCAAAAGCTTACTAGACTTAATAAATGAATTTGGCAAAGTAGCAGGATACAGGTCTTTGAAAAAAGAAATAGAGCAAGATGTAAAAAAGTGGAAGAACATACCCTGTTCATGGATTGGGAGAATTAACATCATTAAAATGTCCATATTACCCAAAGCAATCTATAGATTCAACGCAATCCCCATCAAAATACCAACGGCATACTTCAAAGAATTAGAACAATTACTTCAAAAGTTCATATGGAACCAAAAAAGGCCTCGAATAGCCACAGCAATCTTGAAAAGGAAGAACAAAGTTGGAGGGATCACAATACCAGATTTCAGGTTATACTACAAAGCCACCATAATCAAAAGAGCCTGGTACTGGCACAAGAACAGGTATATAGACCAGTGGAACAGAATAGAGAATCCAGAAATGGACCCTAGGCAATATGCTCAATTAATACTTGACAAAGGTGGCAAGAGCATACAGTGGAGTAAGGACAGCCTCTTTAATAAATGGTGCTGGGAAAATTGGACAGCTACTTGCCGAAAAATGAAACTAGACCATCAACTTACACCCTACACGAGAATAAACTCAAAATGGATAAAAGACTTAAATGTAACTCATGAATCCATAAAAATCCTAGAGGAGACTGGGGGCAACAAAATCTCAGACATCATACGCAGCAGAATTTTTACTGACACATCACCTAAGGCAATAGAAACAAAGGAGAAAATGAACACATGGGACTACATCAAACTCAAAAGCTTCTGCACAGCAAAAGATACAATCATCAAAACGGAAAGGCTACCCACTGTATGGGAGAGCATAATTGCCAATGATATATCAGATAAGGGGTTAATTTCCAATACATATAGAGTGCTCATACAACTCCACAAAAGGAAGACAAAGAATCCAATTAAAAAATGGGCAGAGGAACTAAATAGACACCTCTCCAAACAGGACATACAAATGGCTAAGAGACATATGAGGAAATGTTCATCATCACTAATCATCAGAGAGATGCAAATCAAAACAACAATGAGGTATCACCTCACACCTGTCAGAATGGCCGCCATCAACAAATCATCAAACAACAAGTGTTGGCGAGGGTGTGGAGAAAAGGGGACTCTAGTACACTGTTGGTGGGAATGCAGACTGGTGCAGCCACTATGGAAAACAATATGGTGTCACCTCAAAAAATTAAAAATTGATCTCCCATTTGACCCAGTGATCCCACTTCTAGGAATATACCCTACGAAGCATAAAGCACCAATCAGAAAGAATATATGTACCCCCATCTTTGTAGCAGCACTATTTACAATCGCTAAGATCTGGAAACAGCCCAAGTGCCCATCAGTAGACAAATGGATTAAAAAGCTGTGGTACATATACACAATGGAGTACTACGCAGCGGTAAGAAAGAAAGATCTCTTATCCTTTGAGACTACATGGAGGGACCTGGAAACTATCATCCTAAGTGAAACAAGCCAAACAGAGAAAGACAAATTTCATATGATCTCACTGATTTGTGGAATATAATGAACATAACAGTTTGAGGACAATCCCCTAAGGAGTGGGGAGGTGAGAGAGGGATGAACCACAGAACTTATATGCATGTATGCATGAACAGTGGACATGGACAACAATCTGGGGAAGGGGCAGGGAGGGAAGGGGGAGGGGGGAATCAGTGGGGGAAAAAAGGAGAATCATTTGTAACAAAAATTAATCAATAAAAAAAAAAACACTGAAAAAAAAAAAAAAAAAGAGTACAACTTACCCCATTTTCTAAAACAGAGAGTTGATCCCGGGCTGCAACACCTCCAATTATCAGAAGCTCCCTGAAACAAACACCATAATAATAATGTAGAACGAGATTCGAGTGTGGTTCACTGCATTTGCACATCTTTTAGGTGGAAACTCAAGGTGACAGTAACTGGGGAAGGGTCCACAAGGAAAGCGCAGGCAGGTGGACAGTGTGCCTCTCACCCAGTGGCCGTATGGAATGCTAAGTGGGGAAAGTGAGCAGAACGGGCAAGTGTGGAGCACAGCACCCCAGCCCTCGTCTACACAGCCTTCCAGGGGCTCCGAATCCTGTTCAATCACCTTTTCACACATATATGGTTGCACGTGTACAGAATATCTCTGAAGTAATATATAAATATTAATTTTTAAAAGGTGCCACCAGGTAGAATAAGTAAAAACTGGGGGGGGTGGGGGTGAAATGAGACTTTTCACAGGTTATCTTTTACTTGTTTAAAATTTCTCATTCAAAATACTTCCCAAACAATGTTTAGGTTAAAAAAATTGCCTTATGTCAAGACAATTCAATGGAGGAGAGAATAGTATTTTCAACAAATGGCACTAAAACAAATGAATAAGCACATGCAAAAGAAAGAAGTTAAGCCCTGGCTGGTTTGTTTAGTGGTTAGAGCATCAGCCCACGGACCAGAGAGTCCTGGGTTCAGTTCCCGCTAAGGGCATGTACTTTGGTTGTGGTTAGTCCCCAGCCCAGGGTGGAGTTGTGCAGGTGGCAACCAGTCAATGTGTCTCTCTCACATCGATGTTTCTCTCTCTCTTCCTCCCACTCTATCTGGAGATAAACGCAAAAGTGTCCTCGAGTGAGGATTAAAAAAAAAAAAAAAAGAATGAAGTTAACTCTTCCCTTGTTTTAAAGATCTTTAGAGAGCCCTGGCCGGTTTGGCTCAGCGGTTAGAGCGTTGGCCTGCGGTCCCGAGAGACCCGGGTTCGGTTCCCGCTAAGGGCATGTACCTCGGTTGCAGTTTGTCCCCGGCCCTGGTTGGTCGTGTGGGTGGCAGCCACTCGATGTGTCCCTTTCACATCGATGTTTCTCTCTCTCTTCCTCTCTCCCCCTCCCACTCTACCTGAACAAAAAATAGAAAAATGTCCTCAGGTGAGGATAAAAAAAAAAAAAAAAAAATCTTTAGAGAGGAGGGGGAGGGAGAGAGAATTACCAATTGGCTGCCTCCTGCATGCCCCCTACCAGGGATCTGGCCTGCAACCAGGGCATGTGCTCTGAACAGGAACTGAGCCGGCAACCTTTCAGTATATGGGACAAAGTCCAACCAACTGAGCCACAAAGGCCAGGGCTTAAAATTCTCCTTTATAGCATACACAAAAATTAACTCTAAATGAGCCACAGACCTAAATGTAAAACCACAAAGTATAAATCTCTTAGAAGAAAACATAAAAATAAATTTTCATGACCTTGGGTTAGGCAAGATTTCTTTATACGTAACACCAAAAACAAAAGCAACAAATGAAAAAAAAGGCTGAACTTCATCAAAATTAAAAACTTTTGCATTTCAAAGGACACTATCAAGTGAAAAGACAGCCCACAGAATGGGAAAAAATATTTGCAAATCAGACAAAGTGTATCTAACATGTAGAGTGTGTGTGTGTGTGTGTGTGTGTGTGTAAAGAACTCTTAAAACACAGTAACATAGACAAATTATCCCACTGAAAAATGGTCAGGGGAACAGACATTACAAATGGCCAACAAGCACTTGAAAGATGGTCAACATCATTAGCTACAGTGAAATGCAAATCAAAACCAAAGTGAGACACCACCTTACACCCATTAGATGGCTATAGTAAAAAAGACAGGTAATAGTTTGGTAAAGATAGAGAAATGAACCCACATACATTATTAATAGCAATGTCAAATGGTGGTATCACTTTGGGAAACAGTTTGGGAGTTCCTGAAAATGTTAAACCTATAGCTACTATATGATTCAGATATTAGACCCCAGGGGCCTTATACAGAGAAATGAAAATGTCCACATGAAACCTGTCACTGATGTTCACAGCACAGTAGCCAGAAAGTGGAAACAACCCAAGTACCCATCAGTTAATGTATGAATAAATGTGGTATATGCATATGATGGAATACTTTTCGGCAATATAAAGTAATTAAGTACTGACACATGCTACCACATTGATTAACCTTGAAAACATTATGCTAATTCAGGGAAACCAGTCACAAAAGAGCATATACTATCCACTTCCATTTGCATAAAATGTCCCAAATAGGCAAAATCTAGAGACAGAAAATAAATCAGTGGTTCCACCCACCGTACGGCTGAGGAATACAAAAGAACAGCCCCTGTCTGAGGGAGTGTAAATCTGAAAGGGACGAGTAACTGTCTTTACAACCCGCCAGTGCGCAGGGTGAAGGCGAGGCATCCATGGGGGCGGTACTGGGAAGGACGGGGCTGAGACAGCAGGGCAGCTTCCCAGACAGACCAGGACTTGAGCTGGTTTTCAAAGGAAAGGCTCATTTGTACTGAATACCAAAATAAGTAACCCACAACTTTACCATCTTAACAAATAAATTTCATTATTCATGTTCCCTTCCAGCCTTAGTCCACAGGCATATTAACCTTTACAGACAATTACAGCACAAAATCAAGCATTTTACATTCTTCCAAACACTCTCTCATGAAGAGTTCCGAGCCTCTTGTATGAAACAGATGCCCTGGCTGTGCTCCTTCAGTGACTTTGCCTATCGCATCCCCAAGGCATTTCATCACCTTTGTTTTGTGCTCTCTCCCCCTCCACTCCCACACCCACTCCTACGAAAGCAAAGACGAATTCTCCTTGTTCTATCCCTGGTCCCTAGCCTAAGACTTCACACACAGCAGGTGTTACTCAAAGTCACTGGGGCTAAGTTTCATGCATCAATCCTGAACACAAAATTAGGAATTATTTTACCTAAAAAGTTTGATTAAGTATCACTTATCCCTGAATGAGTTTCATTGTAAGAAAGATCAACATTAACAAGATGGGTCTGCATGATGCCAACGATTCGAGTTCCTGGAATTAGCCAGTGGCGATGGTGCCGTGTGGGGCTCTGCTAGAAACTCCGAAACTGGCCCATCTCAGTGATGAATTCAGTGTGTGAAAAGGGTTTCAATAAAAAATAATTCACAGTGAAATGAACAAAACTCAAGTGACAAATCAACTGACCCAGAGCGTTACTTCTATGATAGGGCCTCCTTTTCCCCGATTAAAAGGGAGTCTCCTGAGCAAGGAGTTCCACAAGATCACTTAACTTTGGTAGAAAGAGCCCCCGACTAGACAGTGACCAGTCTGGGTACCCAACGGGCAAAGGTCACCACTGTGAGAAAGGCGACCGCCTCACTGAGTTATGTTTGCCAGCATACTGCAAAGACAGCAGGATCTTCTCCATGCGCACGAAGGGATGAATCTAACACTGAATGAAATGCTCCCTTAAAAACAAATTTTTACTGATACCGTTGGGCAACCATGACTCTTCATGTAAAAGACATAGAAAAAAAAATCTCAATTTACTTTTCTTTTAAATCAAACTTTTCACTTCAGCAGTTTTACAGAGAAACTAATTGCTACTTTATGTCAAGGTGTACATATACGTGTATAAACATACACGCTGAATTTCTACCTCATTGTTTCTACCTTACCCTTCTTCTCAAACACCTCAAACCTAAAGAGAGTAGACATTTGAGCAAGACAGGAAACTTTACCTTAATTTAGGGTTATCAACGTATTTCTTAAACTGCTTGATGTTATTCAGAGTCTGCTCGGCCAGCTCTCGGGAGGGCTCGACGATGAGCGCCTTGGGAGCGTTGGGGAGAAGCTTGGCCTGTGCCACCTGCGCGTTACCTTGGGGAACACAGAGCAGAGCACATGCACACACTGCAAAGCACCTTCGTTGTAAAGCATGAGTGCAAATATTCCAACATCAAAGATTTAAACAGCAATCGTCAGAAGTATAGGAGAGTCAAACAAAACACAATACAGCTAAGATTGTTCAAATGAAGTAAGGTTTCTTTAAATCTACTTGCAATAACTGCCACTGATAGATACGTTTTTGGATAAAGTGAACTAAGTTATGAAATGTACATACTTCAAACAACTGAAAGAGATTTGGCAGTACAACGGGTAGGGGTCTGAGCTCTGCAGTCAGACTGCCTGGGTTAGAATTCAGTTCTACCACTCACTTGCTCTGTGACCTTGGGCAGGTAACTCCAGTCCCTACTCCTCAAGTTCTTTGTAAAACGGGAAGAGTACCACCTTACAGGGTTGTGGTGAAGAGTAAATAATCTGTGTAAAACACTGAACACAGTGCTGTGGCACTTAATGTACACATGTTAAAAATACTACCATCATCGTCATCATCAGGATCCCAACATGCCTAAACTAAAACCAAATTAAGACTTTATGAATTAGGTTTTGAAGTTTAATTTTACTGGTGTGTTTAATAAGGACGTGTGCCTAAACCAGCAAGGGGAGTATATGTAACTAACCCCTAAGAGAAGCCTTGCCTACTGGAGCTTTCACCCGGACCCCACCCTCCAAACCCTTGCCCCTCAGGTGTGATACCTGTGCGCTGCGATTTGACAACGCAATTGTCCGGCGCCTTGGAAAGAGCTACGAAACCGTCCTTTGGTGCAAACTTAAATTCTTCTTCACCAAAGTTAAATTTTATTTCAGCATTCTAACATGGAATAAAGGAGAAAATAAAAATTTTTAATCTAATAGTAAACTAGTCAACACACAATAATGCAGATCAAAGTAGCTATGATCACGGCAACATTCTTCTATCTGGATTCTCCCTTACCTTCAAAACACAGGCAGGAAAGAGGGCTTGGTTCTTCATATGTGGTGGGATTTCAAATGCCAAACCAAGGTCTTTACCTTAAAAAAAAAAAGAGTGTTCACCCGCCCACCTGCCCGCTTCCTTCGTGCTACCCTGTGCGGCACCTCGTGCCACCTCTTCACTTTGTCACTTAATCCTGAAGTTGCATATTTATCTACTTACTTGATTTCACCATTTAGATGATAAGTATCTCAAATTTATTATGTCCCAAAGAGAACTCCTATCATCCAACTGGCTCCCCGCCTACTACCACAACCCACCCACCCACCAGTATGTTCTCAACACAGTGGCTACAATGATACTGTTAACTAAAGACAGACGATACGAATTCTCTACTCAAAATCCTAATGGCTTCTAATCATACTCAAAATAAGAAGTACGTGTCATGACCAATAAACAAGGCCCTAGATGGCCTGGCCTCACTACCTCACCGACTTAGCTTCTACCACCCTCCTCCATGCTCAGTGTCCTTCAGACCCATTACTGCCTCCTCACTGTTGCTCAGATACCCCAAGCACATTTCCACCTCAGAGCCTTTGCATTTACTTCTCCTCTGCCTGAAACACTCTTCTAAGATATCTGCATGGCCCACCACCAACCCATTCAGATTTCTACTCAAATGTCAACTTCTCAGAGAAGCCTTGTCTGACCGCCCTGTGTAAAACAGCACCCCCACACTGCTATCACCCTCCATTCCCTTACCCTGATGTAGTCTCTCCCTCATGCACCTGTTCCCACTTGACATACTAGGTATCTGCTGGTCTCTCCCCACCAGAATGTAAGCCCCACAAAAGTAAACATGTTTGCTCCATTTTTTGCTCATTCTCCAGCACCTACCACCAGGGTGGCTGGCACATAACAAATGCTCAACAAGTATTTATTCAAAAAGAGGCAGGGAATGAGAGAGAGAGGACTGAAGAAGAGGATGAGGAAATTAAAACATCAGAAATAGACCTTCTAACAAGACAATCCATAGAAAGCTTACCATTTTTGGAGAATTTGACATGTCCTTTATCTATGTCTAGGTAACACCCAATAGTATCATGCATAGTAAATTCCTAGAAAACCAGAAAGTCAAGTGCTGTTAATAAAGCAGATTCATAAAGTGAAAAGTTCAAATATACCAGCACCAAAAGTATGTGTTAGCATTTTAAAATAATCCCTTGGAGCTCCAATGTGTGGTTAAAACACGTCTATTACATAGGCATCTCATACAGAACAGCAGACGCGTCTGACAGGCTTTTAGCGTCAATGTGACTTTGGACTCCAGAACAAGTATATTTAGATGACTGTGATTAAAAATAAGAAATCAGAATAATATGTGTAAGTCAAGCCCAATCAAAATGGGGTAAAGACAGAAGACAGAGTAAAATACTTTGGAGGGCTAGATAAATTGTGTAACATCTCTTCACTGAGTCCAAATCCAACCTGAGGAAAATATGGGGGGGGGCAGGCAAAAGTAGGTTTACAGTTGTGAGTACAAGAAACAGTTTATTTATTACTATTTATTAATTATTGTATTTATTGTTGTTGTTATTATTAACCTACTTTTGCCCACCGCTATATTCAGATGGTCTAGTTGAATTTGAGAATTTCTATATCCTCAGTCATGTCACGAGTGATCAAGTAAACACATATAAGAAATACTATAATTAAGTCAATAAAACAACTTACCTCTCCATAATTATCAAATTGTTTATTATGGGATTTCTTTCCAGTCCCACCAAAGCCAAAGCCAAACTTGTCAGTACCTAGATTTAAAAAAGTGTTTTATTTACGTGGCGAGACAGAAATATACAGCTCAAAGCCCGGTGAGGGAGGCTCACAGACCCCGGAACAAAAGCACCGTGCAGCCCGGCGTGGCGTGCCCTCACACACACCACCGTACCCACCCGCCTCGTCTGAACCCGGTCCTCCGCATTTTACAGTTATGTATTTTTGGGTACTTCAAATCTTTTTTGGTACAGATTAAGGTACAGATAAATTCTGTTTCCATGTTTCTAAAACATATACTCTGTATGGTCAAGTTTATTATCTCCCCATTATAACAAAAATGTTAACTCCACACATACAGATCAGGAAGTCCAGTTCTAGAAACACTTACCTAGATCTAAGGAAGCCTGCATGGAAGACCACCCGACTCTGCACAATCCCTGGTCATGACAGGACACTTCATAGTAGTGCTTCCCTACAAGGGCAAAATGCTTTAAGATTTGTATCAGTTACAATGTGATTCATTTACCATGTAGCCACTTTCCCACTGTTTCTGAATTATAACTGTATGATCCAAAAGAAGAACTGTAGGCCTTCTTGTAACCTTAAAAATCTTTTCAGACCCTAGCATAAAGCTGTATTAAGAAAGTTCACTGACACATGTACAGATGCTGTTAAGTACCTTTCGTTAGCCCTTTGGTAGCTCGACATCCGTGCCATTCCTTTATTTCTCTGCTCTGACAGCAAAGGCCATCTGACCCAATGGCTGGATTTTAGAAAAACAGAGAACAATGTCAGTACAGATGATCTAAGTCAGATTCTGAAATAAGTATCATTCAGTCTCACAAACAAGGTTAATTCCTGTGCTTGCTGCAATGTTCCAGAGAATGAGACGTGCGGACTCCTGAGTGACAGCAACATTTCCCCCATGAGTAACTGCCCCATTCATCCCCGGGAGGGCCTTGGCCATGTTGGGGACTAGTTTCTACAGTCATCTGTTCACCAGCATAAGATTTTATTAAAACAGGTCTAGAAAGAAATCAAAACAGCACCTGAACTGTCTTGCACTAATAGTAGCTGTATCACCAATACAAACGTGTTCAGCCAACTATTCTCTATAGGTCTTCAAAGAAATGGGTACTCAAGGGTGACACAGCACCCACTCATAAATACTTGTTGCTCTGATTTCATGCCTAAATTAGAGCGTGAGTGAATGCCACATTAAAAGGAAATCAGAAACTGTCTGGATTGCTCCCCAATCCATTGATCCAGAAATCATAAAGGGGGAGCGGGAAAAAAGTACGAATAAATAACCTGTAATTTGCTAATCTCACGATCGACCACAGTGCTCATTGGTACTTAATGGCTTTATGTAAACTGACTCTTGTATATACTGCAAAGAAAAAATAACGTGTGTCCTGGTTCAGTCTTGCACTCATATTCTATACCTGAATACAAAACAAACTTTTTAAAAAGCACTGCATCACACATTTTCCTTATCAGAAATTATTTATTCAAAGTATAAATTCTTACATTATATAAAACTAAACTTTTTATGAAGTTCTTTAGAATGACAAATCCTTAATATTTTGTATTTAAAATTCTATATGCAAACATACAGATATAAACTTCATATAAATTAGGCATCATACGGTGCAGAGTAGCAGTTTGGCGTTTTCTGTGTGGCTGGTTGTTTGGGGCATGATTCCTCATGCCCACTCTACATTTTCCTGCATTCTGCTTTTCTGAACAGCACCTGGCAAAAATTCCTCAAAGTCGACTCTATTCTTGACACTTGATCACTTATGACAACTCTACAAAGTACTCATTCTTTGTAATGGCTTCACAACAGTCCTTCAACACACCCTAGTCTTTGTTAACCATTCCTTAGCAATAGCATTCACTTTGCCGGCAGTTTTAATCCTTATAAATAGTGCTCCATCAAAAAGCTTTGAATGCATACTCTTATACACTGCCACTTCATTCTAAAGGGTAAGACCTTCCAGGAATATATGTTTTTTAAAATGTATATAGTTAATGCCAAACTACTTTTCAAAACGGGAATAATTCATATTGGTTATCACTCTTTTGGATTCCTGCCAATCAGATGGGTAGAGGACATCTCATGGTCACTTTAATTTCCTGTAAACTTGATCTCTGCATGTTTACTGGTACTTGGACTGGCTCTGCTGTGAACTGCCTATTCACAATCTTGGTCCACTTTCCCTACTGGTTGTTTATCTCTTTCTTCCCCAAAACAATTATCTACACAAGAACTCCTTACAGTTTATATAGATTCTCTATCTTTCATCAACACTGCAAGTATTCTTTCCATAATTATTTTTTGTCTCAACTTTTTCCTGTTATAGCTTCTCCACATACTTTTTAGAATTTTATACAAACATACTTGAATCTTTCCTTTTACTATTTCTGAGTTATTTGGGTAGAATTTCCCCACTCCTAAATTGTACACGTTGTGTGTATGTGTGTGTATTTAAGTCTTAAATATATAGAGAATTTGTTTCTAAATAGGAGATAAGTCAATTTCCTATTAGTTCAGATGGATCATCAATTGTGCTAAAACTCTTACTAAACAAAGCATCCCTTTTCCTGTTGAAACAAAGTATTATTTTTCTACATATTAACATTTCATATACACTGGGACCTATTTCCATTATATTCCATTGACATATTTGTCTATTCCTATGTCAGTACTAAACTATGAAAATATAGTAACTATATTCTAAAATTTGGTAAATTAAATCTTCATTTACTATTCCTTTTCATAATTTTCTTGATATTCTCAAAAATAAGTTTCCGGCTTATAAATGAGTTGCTAAAATCTATCCACTTACCAAAAGCAGATCCTCTGTCATATGGGTTCATTTGCCATTTGTTGAGTACTAAATGAATTAAAATAAGAAAGTTACCCACAAATGTTATGAAATGAAAAACTTTATCAAAAATAAAGCATAGCCCTGACCAGTTTGGCCGGTTGGAGCACTGGCCTGTGGACCAGAGAGTCCCGGGTTCGGTTCCCGCTAGGGGCACGTACCAAAAAAAAAAAGCATATATTTTAAATAATTTAATTCCACTACATTCAATTTGTACACAGTATTTCAAACGTACAAGTGTTGCTGTTTCATTAGCAGCCACACTGAAACTGAGCACTGAACTATGCCGAAGACAACCTGGGGATAAACCTCTCCTCCTCCTGCTGCAGTGCACGTTGCATCAGGCAGCACTAACCTTTGCTGAAACGCTGACAGCACTCATAAAATCAGGGTCTGGCGACCCAACCAGCTGATATCAATCAATATGAAAATAAATGACCAACATATTAAGAGCTAGGTAAGCATTTTTTTTTTTTTTTTTTTAAGATGGAGTGGAAGGGAGGGAGGGGAGAGAGAAAAAGGGGGGGAAGGGAGAGAGGAGATGGGGAAGAGGGGGAGGGGGAGAGAAGGGGGGTGGGGAGGGAGAGAGAGAGAAACACACATCAAGTGAGAGAGACACATCAATGGGCTTCCTCCAGCACAATCCCAACCGGGGCCAGGGATTGAACCTTCAACCCAGGTATGTGCCCTTGACTAGAACTGAACCCAAGATGCTTTGGTCCGAGGGTTAATGGTCTAACCACTCAGTAAAACTGGCTAGGGCGTATTCCTCTTTACTTTAATGGGATCAGTATTTTCCTTTTCTAAAATATCTTAATAGTATATGGATAATCAACAAATCATAATAGCTATAGAGAACTCTACATGTTTTCAAGCCAACTTCCCACCCAACGTAGAAATATTTTCTCAATTTCTGATCAAACGATATCTATCATCTGCTTAAACACTTTAAATAATGGGAAGTAACTTTCTCTTGAGGTTCTCTCTTTCATTGTTGGCTCAATCTAGCTGCTCAGAAGTTCAAGTTCAACAGAAACCTTCATCTAGATTATTCTAAGTAGTATTCCTACTTTATAGAACAATTATTTTCTCTCCTGATCCTGTCAATGACTTAACAATTATCTCTTTTACTTGTGTCTCCATGTTTAAATATCCTTTCTTTATTCCTCATTGGACATGACTTTTGGAACTATTCCCATTCTGGTTATCCTTTGGAAGCATTCTCTTTTTTAACCATCTCCAATAAATAACAGTTTAGAAATATTACAAGTTTTGAAATTATTTTTGAAGAGGCCATTCGTCTAAATAGTTCATATCCATTATCCACCTTACAATTCACTTACAAACGAGTTCATTCTACCAAGGACATCACATTGTTACTTCCAAACTACTGGGAAGAAAATGCTGATATGCCAAATTCACTCAAGCTTATAATTTTTTCATAATCATACTTTGTATTATGAAACAAAGGTGACATAAAATACAAAATAAATTTTGTTAAAATATAACAAAGTCATAAATTACTCAAGAAAGAATGGAATTCAGAAACTTTTTAATCAAACAACATAATTTAAAGATGATGAAACTGATATAAGATTGTTCTTGGCACAGATAGGACCAAAGACATAGTAAATAACCAATTTCCACGCAGACAGGACTGAAAACTAGAAACTGACTTGCTTCATCCTTCACACCCTCAACTGGAATCTGGCCCAAACCTGGGCATGTGCCCTTACCGGGAATCGAACCAGCAACCTTTCCGTACAGGGGACGATGCCCAACAAACTGAGCCAGACCAGCCAGGGCTCCTTCTTTCTTATCTTAAAGGAAAATGCATGACTCTTTTCCTTGCGAAAGGCATATTTCCTACCACCATTAGTTTTTAATTCCTACCACCATTAGTTTTTAATTATTTGTAAAACCATTCCTTAATATCTTAGTAAAACATTGTACCAATTTAATATTAGGCGTAAAAAAAATCAAGTTAATAAAAACATTAAAATAATTAAATATAATTTCCCAATTCTGGAGTTTTCTCAAAAAGAGCACTATTAGTATTTAGGATGGACACTCTTTCCCTGTTTATGCTCTAAATAACATTTAACACCTCGTTTCCAGTGCACTGAACACCAATAGCGCACACCGGACACTGACAATAAAAACGCACACTCAAATCTCTCATCTGTACGTATCAGGGATGAGAATTACTAATTTATAAAAAATGAAAATATTACTATGCAAATATTACCTGAAGTACCAGTTTTAACTGTTGTTTTTCCTTTTTTGCCTTCCTGCTGGTCTTTCAGAGTTTCATAAACAATCTGGATAATTGGAATACTGAAAGCCTATCAAAGAAACAATAGTTCTCTATATCAGTATTCCAATATTAATGCCAATAATTAATATAAATTACAAAAATTAGGCATGCACATTAAATAATTACACATATTTCAAATTGCTGCTCCAATCTGCCCAAACTCAAAATACCAGTAAGATGCACAAGAGAGCTGACTGAATGAAGACAACTGGAGCCAGCTGACAGTCCCAGAAAATAAAGAATGGAAACCTGCAGAATGAACCTAAACTCAAGAGGAAAAACACCACCTGTCTGACAGGCTGTTCCTCTAGTCTAGGTCCAAGTGAGATCGACCTCTATGTGCAATTTCTATTACTAGAGCCATTGCAATAAAATTCAGAAGGGAATACAAATACTAAAGATAATGTAGCTGTCTCCAAGACCAGTTTAAAACTATATTCTTAAAGCTGTACTCTTATAGAAGTTATTTCAGAATTAGCTGGCAATAAAAAGATCCCTCTTAGTGACAAGCAATCAATCCATCACATTCTGGAGGAGGCTGCTTTATTAAATATTTCCAAGTCAAAACGACTATACAAAGTTGCTGTAAAAATCAACTCTTACAAAGTAAGCCAATTTACATTTATTACTTACACCCGTTTTTCCACTTCCTGTTTCTGCAGCCTAAATGGGGAAAAAAAGTTGATTTTACAATTTAAGTTGTCAACTAAAGAAGTCAAATTAACAAATGATACCATGTAAAAATCGTTACCACTTAACTAGCTATCCTGACGTTCACGGTGCCTACAGGTGACTCAGGTTTTCTCCTTCAACTGTGATTACTGCCCATCTTGCCACTTCACCCCATTCCCTCAAGACTCTGTTCCCATTGCTACCATTCAAACCTAAGGCCTCGTCATTCTAATCGAGATTACAAAAGCATTCTAACAGTATCAAGTCTCTCAGAACTATACTACAAGCTGCTACCAAATTAATCTTCATAAAAACACAATTCTAACCATAAAACACATCCATACTTAGATTTTCCAATGATCCCCACTACCAACAAATACCGAATTCTTTTGAGAAAGAGCCCAAATAACCTGAGCCGCTATATACTGACCACGTTATCTGGAGTCCCACACCACCACACATATTGCATGCTTCCATCCAACAGCACTACTCCGGGATCACACCTGCACTCTCCTCTTCGCTTTTTTGACTGATGCACTCCCTACCTAGAGACCATTCCTCTTCCATCCTCCCTTGTCCTAAATCTACTTCCTCCTGGAACAGTCGCTTATGGTCCCCTCACCCAGGAGGAAAAATGGCCCCCACTCGAATCCTGTAGTACTTTGCATCCCTTATCCAGGTGCCATGTTCTCTCTTTATGAGAGTTACCTGTGTACATGCATTACTGTGCTACTGGGGTTAAGCTTCTTAAAGGCAAAAACTGCATCTTATTCACCTTTGTTTTCCCCACAACTTCTACCTTGAATACAATATATGTATCCTAAATGTACATAAATAAATAACATTAATTTGGTGAAAATATCATTTTTGAAGCTTATGAAGCTCTTCTGGTGGTTCACAAATAGCACTGCAATTGTGTGTCCCCAGCTCCCAACCACCTCACCAAATTTAAACATACCATAAGTACATCACCGCCTCCTAGAATCAGGGGGATGGATTCTGCCTGGATATCAGTTGGGAGACTAAAAGAATCATATTTAGAAAAATTTTAGTTAGTAGGAAAAAATAAATCACCTAAGCTAATTAAGGCATGCTAAACTTTTCCAGCTAGAACTATATCAAAGTTTAAAAAGGAAATGTTCTATAAGTTAGAGAATCACAAGAAAAACTGAATTTCACTTACCCAAACTACACTAAAAAATATTTGATAAAATTACCAACTGTTTAAATGACAAGGCATCCCTGTGGCAGGTACACTAAGCTTGGGGTACTTACAGCCAATCCATCTCTTCCACAGCTTGCGCAATTTCAGGCATAACACCCATCTCTGAAAATAAAAATTAATTTTTAAAACCACACATACTAAATTTAAATCCTATTGCTCTTAAAATCATTGTTTGTAGAAGAGAGAAAAGGCTTTGAAGCAGAGCTCAGTTATACAGCACTGATGAAAAGAGTGTATGTTTTGGAGAAAGACTTGAGCTCACATCCAAGCTCTCACTAGCAACGTTACCTTGGGCAAGCCAAAGACTTGTTTTCTCCACACAAGATGGAACTAACGTTACCTACTCTGTAGGGATATAGGAAGACGACAGGTAATATGCAGTACATCTACACATAGTTATCACTTAATGCACAGGAACCACCAGTATTTCTAGGACTAATAACAAAATCTGCTGGAGTTAGAGGGTTCTAGACCAGCATCTTGCTTGTTTCATCTAGAGATAATGTGGAATTCATGTGCCTTGGCTATTTGAGGACCATGTGAATACCCTCAGAGAGCCCACATAGATTGGCAGGCATAACAAAACTCTGGATAACTGAAAAGGGAGGAGACAGTGGTAAAAACTTGGGTACTTGGAAATGTCACATGAACAATTGCTCTATTTTTAGTTGTTCACACATATTTAGTAATTCTACTTCAAAGCCAGTCCTAAAGGAATAGATTGGACCCTACTTCTGATTGGGTTTTCTCATTTTATCATTTCTCAAATGAAATGTAAAGGGTAGTTTAGATGGATTACTTATACCTCCTTCCCAAAAAAGAAGTGATTTTTATTTTAAGTCTACAGTTATAAAAATGAAGTTTTCATTATTGTTATTACAGAAGTATATATTCCTATTAAAAATTAACAATACTCAAATATTCCCAAGCCTCCAAAATAACCAATTTGAAAAATTTGCATTTCTTGTAATTGTTTGTGAAGACATAAAACAAATTTACAGACTGACTATATCCATCGCAAAAGTAGCTTTTTCTTTGCATCAGGTGAGAAGAACCATACCAGCAATGAACACAATAGCTACAACACTACAATTTTATATTGTAAACTAGTTGATATAAACATAGATGACATGGGAAAGTATAAAAACCTTTTTCAAATCTCCCCAGGAAAATGCATAGATCAAAAAACGAATCAAGATTTAAAGCTATATATGCAAGCAGACCTTTCTAAGAATCGTTCCCATTAGAGTCCAGATGATTCTCTCTCCCAAAAAGCAGTCTTAAATATGCTGCACACTGCCAGCCAGCTGAAGCTGCTTATGAAACTGTTCTATTGTGAGCAGCAACCAGACTGCTCTCAGCAAATTCCAGACTCTTTGTTCCATGCTGATCATGTTCTCTGCATATTTGCTATGAAACTATGTTTTCTTTAATAGAACATTTTTAACGTTTATGGAATAAACAGGAATATTCATGTTCCTTAATTCTACATTTGTCTTTATTTCCTATCAGAGACTCCTCTAGTCTTCTACCCTAACATCCCTTAAATCTGCGCATGACTCCCAGAGAAGTGAACCTATAAAATGACAACCTGAAACTGTTCAACACACCCTGGCTCTAAAATCATCTTTTAGGAGAGGGCTGGGGGGGAAAAAATTAGCTACCACTGAGTAGATGTCCCCTTGCCTCCTATTATAAGACGCAACTACAACAACGTGAAATCCTATCTCATAACTAAAAATTTGGATTTCCTAACATTCTTATAGGAGAAAAACGAAATACAGTAACATTTAAGTCATCTTAATAGATTAAAAACATTTTTAAAAAATTGTAGGCCTAACGATACATTTATTGCCGTGTAAATTCACCACGTTTAAGCAGACAAAGCTTCTGCAGCTTCTTAAAACTGTGGTGTACACAGGAATGACGACAGAGGATGAGATTAAAAATAGCAACTGTTAGGTTAGATACGCTGCCACAAATTCCTGTTTGGAATACAGGAGGGTATCATACTGTAGGTCAGTAACTATTTTTCAAAACCTGTGCTGGACTAGCGTGTAGGAGAATGAAAACGCGTTTCCTTCTGGCTTCAATGCTATTTATTTAACATTCATGTTGATAAACTAGCGTTTAACAACGAATAAATAACAGGTTTCTGCCTGGGACGTGTATCTTTTGGAAGGACCTGGAAAAAACCGGACAGAGGAAGGAGCGTCCTTTTCCCCTCGGAGCGCGCCCCGCGCCCCGCGCCCCGGCGGCCTGGCCAAGCCCCGCCGGCCGCAGGCAGGTTCCCGGGCACCACTGCCACGTCCGCCAGGCAGGAGGCCTGGGGTCGCAGACGGGCCGGGGTCACGCCGCCGCCGCGGCATCGTCTCGGGGGGCGGGGGGCCTGGCCGGGCAGCCAAGCGCAGGCTGGAGGAGGAGAACGAGCAGGAGGCCGGGGAAGGCCAGCGCCCGCGGAGGAGGCGCGGACCGCAGCACTGAGCGGGCCTCGGGGGCCGCCACCGGGCCGCCGTCGACAGCTCCCTCCGAAACCGCGCGGCGCTGTCCACCCCCACCCACAGGCTCCCCGCCGGCCGCCCGGAGGCCGCGGCGTGGACCGGGCCTCCCGCACCGGCCCCAGCTCGGCACACGCACCGGAGAAGGCCGCCATCTTCGCCCGTCCTCCGCGGCTGGGCTCGCGCGCCCTCCCTCCGCACGGACACGCTGCGCCGTGGCCGCGCGTGCTTCCGGCCCCCGGCTTGCGGCTTTGGGATTCCGGGCGGGGACCCAGCCCCCGGAGAAGGGTTCCGACGCAGGAAATGCCCCGCCCCGGACGCCGGAGCGCGGACCCAGTTCCGGGGGATCCTGTTAGGACAGGTCATCGTTGGTTGGAGCACGCTTGTGTCCTCAGGACCACGTTAGCCTCTATAAGGAAGCAGAGGAGGGCCCCACCATGGCCCAGGATGGTCTGAGGACAGAACTGTGCGCTCTCCGACCTCACTCAGCCCCCAGCCTCTCAGGGCTTTGCTGTGAGTGGATGGCCCGCACGGAAGGCACCGAACTCCTGGCCCAGAAGACCAATACCCCTGAGCGCCGGCACCCAGCAGGCATGCACTTCGTATGTCGGACTGAAATAAATAATGGTTTAGGTCTCCCAGCTTCCTTTCCACGGTGTTTGGTGTAATATTGATAATTTCAAGTTGATGGAAAATTTGAGTTTCATGAAGTTTTGACTCCTTTCCCTTTGCAGAAAGAGAGGAAAATACATGAATATTTAATTCCCCCTGTCTCTCCCCCACCCCCCGCAACAACTGTCTCAGGTAGTATTAGTATCTTTAGATGAGAATACTAAGACTCAGGAAAGTTACTTAACTTACCCAAAGCCACACAGCTGCGAAGGGGCAGTGTGGGATCTGAGCCTCCTCTGCCTAACTCCAGGTCCCCGGTATCATCAGTGGCCTGGCACAGAAGACGTGGAGACAAGTGATACCCTCAGGCACAACGTATTGGGTGGAGTTAGACTTCGGGAGCCATACTCCCTGAATATGAATTCTAGCTCTGCCACTTGCTAGCTGAGTAACCTAATAAGTCTGGGCTTCAGTGGACTCATCTGTAAAATAGTCGAGAATAACAGTACCTATCTTGTAGAATTGTTATATGGATGGGATAAAATAGATAAAGCACCTAGAACGGTGCATACCACATGGCAACAATAGGTCAGTGTTAGCTCTAGTATTACTATTACATATGTAACAGGATTCACCTGACTCTTCAACAGCCAAGGTCTGCAGCTTCCCACCTCCAGGGCCAACATTCACATTGTATTTTATATGCTCATTATATTTTACATAAGTTTATATAAGTGATGTCCCTCGGAGTTATGCGATGTGGCATTTCTGAATAGATGCCATGTACGCCACATTTCAAAGACAGGCACAGGACCACATATTATGGAAGACTTTCAAAAGGGAAATCTGAAATCTGATTTTTGTGCCTTTAGCCAATCCCCATCTTAAACATACGAAAAGCTTAAAGGTGCAAGTTACGAGAAAAGATTTCTCTGAAGAGAGTTGTTGAAGCACCGTGGCATTTCTCCTCCCTCGGAGGAGGAAGCATTTTCCAGGGCACTGCGCAGAGAAATTTCACCTCTGGAGTGCGGGAAGCAGAGCCATGCTGTGAGAAGCTGTGGCTAGAAAGCCCTGAGGTGGCAGGGCAGGGAAAGGGGCAGAGGGAAGGAGAAGGCTGCTGTGGAAGCAGATCACAACTCCAACAGCTGTGGGGAAAACGTGTGACTTTCTCCTCCAGGGCTAACTGGACCCTTGGGGAGTGAACCCAAAGCTGTCTGCAAACAGAATGTGCCTAGAGAAGCTAAATGATGCAGCAGACAAACCTCCTTCCCCCAAAGAACCCTGTTGTATTCATCTTATAACTGGAAGAGGGATAGCTGTTACCTGCTTCGTGTAAGTTGCACTTGGAGAATACCAGCTGAAGAATTTCCAAGATACCCATAAAAAGTACCCCCTGAATGAAAGAATAAACCTTAAGTATGATCGAGGCAGAGAGCACCAGAGTCACATCACCGCGGCACCAGATAAAAGTGGGTATCTCCCCAAGCCTCACCCGAGACTTTATCTGTCCCCCTGGGCTCAGCGCTAATAGGAGAGGGGAGGGCAGAGAAGAGACTGACCACACCCTCCACCTCATTGCAAGCTGGGGAGGGAGGAAAGTATAGTTTGGTAAATGTTGTGCATTTTGATCACTTACACTGTTTAAGTGCAGCTATGAGGCTATAATTGTGATGAATGTAACCAGACAAATTTTCATTATCTGAGAGAGACCAGAAAAGCTCTGGAAGATACCAGAGGCTCCATCTGGGTCAGGAAAAGAAATAGCCCATGGAGAGGGTTTCAAGGTAATGCATAATGTTTTCTGCTCATGATCTATCAAGTTTAGCTCATTTAATATACTGCTTTAATAAATATAAAGGAGAGAGAGAGAGAGAGAGAGAGAGAGAGAGAGAGAGAGAGAGAGAGAGAATACCCTCAATAATGTGAATTGGGGTAAAATGTGATTGGCTACCCTCCTTGACAGGTAGGACAAGACCAAGCGGAGAAGTGGCAGGCAACCCCCTCACCAAACCAAAAGATAGAGGATGGGTGCCCCCCGTCCAGTATCCTTCTGGTCCACTCTCCCCAGAACAGGCTGATTAAATGGGCACCTACTAACCTGGACACAGATCCCCCTGCCTGGTCCCCAGAAACCCAGCGACAAAGTTAAGTAGGAAGACAACTACCACGAGGTGGTGCCAAACTGCATCTGAGCCAGGTATCTGAACGTGTTTTAAAACTCCCCGTGGAGACTTCCCCGATCCTCTTCCCCCCAGCATATTTCTGTAACCTCACAGTAACCCTGCATCTTATGTAATTAATTGGATCTTTTGAACCTCACTAATCATGTTGTGTGATTTAACTATGTTATCCATGCACCCAGAAAAATGTGCTCTGTATCTTCAAGTCAGCTGTGCTACATACAGCTCACTGCAGAACGTGTGGCCTCTTAAATATGCCCTTCAGACACCCAGGATAGCAAGAGAGGGTAGGCCCTGTGACGGACCCTGTCATCCAAAGCCACACACAGTCCCCTTTCTCTGTCATACGGGCTGGGGGCGGGGGTGGATTACCACCTTTCCAGATTCCCTCGTAGAGACAGCCAGCCATAAGACCCAGCTCTGCCCGGGGAGATAGAAGTGGAAGTCCCAGGCAGGGAATCTTTAAAAGAGAAAGACGTGGCCCTGGCCGGTTTGGCTCAGCGGTTGGAGCTTCGGTCTGCAGTACAGAGAGACCCGGGTTCGGTTCCCGCTAAGGGCACGTACCTCGGCTGCAGTTTGTCCCTGGCCCTGGTTGGTCGTGCGGGTGGCAGCCACTCAATGTGTCCCTTCACATCGATGTTTCTCTCTCTCTCTCTTCCTCTCTCTCCCTCCCGCTCTATCTGAACAAAAAATGGAAAAATGTCCTCGGGTGAGGATAAAAAAAAAAAAAAAAGAGAGAAAGACGTGATTGGCACGTACTCTTCTTCCTTCTGGAACGGGAACACAGTGCCTGGAAAAGCAGCCATGAGTCACGACCATGACTTTGTGCCAAGGCTACTGAAGTGGCAAACAGAAGCTCGCATCCGTGATGACGACGGTGACCTACCTTACCAGGCCAGGTCTGTCTACCTGTAGACCTCTTGCAGTTTGAGAACGCCTTATGCAGCTGAGCACCTGTTAATTAATTATCTCTTGCTTGCAGCCCAACACATTCGTAACAGGTACAGGAAAGAAAGGAGACGAAAGGGTCATTAGTAAGGATTTCATGTGATGAATCAGACGGAAGTCGTTTTCAAACGTTCTAGAATGGAGTGATAAGTAACCTACGGTGGCTAACAGGAGGGGGAGACATTGGCCTGGGTCATGGAGGCACCATCAGAACAGTCCTTTCATATCTGGTCGTTTGCTCACGAAGAGAATGCAGTTGAAATGCGCCGTACACAGTGGAGGACGTGCCCCTGAACCCAGCCTAGGGAATGCAGGTCACATCAGGTTGTTCACTTTGTTCTTTCACTGACACTCAGCCCCTCCCCCCAGGCCCCATTCCCCTTCTGGGACGAGGAAAAGTAAGCTGCCTGGTTCATAAAGGTTTAGCAGCCAGGAAGAAGGAATCACGAAGAGGAAAGTTATTGTGATATAAAATAAGTGGATTAGAAGATGCAGTATCTCTATTTCCTTAATCCCTGGGAAGCGTGTGCTCCGATCTACGTGTGAGAAGAGAGGACCTGCCCTGGGTCCTGCACCTGCTGCGAACAGACCCGAAGTGGCAAACCTTCCATCAGTCAACCCCTCCTCTTGGATAACAGCTCTTGATTGGTAAGGTTTCTGACTCCACCTTCTTTAGGATGGCACCCACCAGACCCTCCATGTCCAGTCTCCTGCTTACTCCCAGCTTATACCCTGCATTTTACCGTAGTACATCTCAAACTAGATAGAATTCCTTGTCTGTATCAGATAACCTTTCATCATTGTGTATTTTCTCATGCTGTTCCCTTTCCCTAAAATAGCCTCCCCTTTTTTAGTTTCAGTTATCAATTGTTCTGTGATAACTACCCCAAAACTTACTGTCTTAATGCAGCAACTGGTTTATTTGTTCACGATCCCTTGAGTCAGCGAGTGGGGCAGGGTTTAGCCAGCTGGCTCTTCTGCTCCACATGGGCTGGACTCAAAGGTCTGAGACCTGACTCCCCTGTGCGAGTCCACAGAGCTCCCGAGTGTGGCCTCACATGGACCTTCTCACGGCAGCATGCCATCCAGGGAGGACAGACTCCCTACATGCTAGCGGGGTTTTGAGAGGATAATGTCCCAAAAATAGAAAGCAGGAGCACATATCTCTTAAGCCAGCCTTGGAAGTCGCACAGTGTCACTTCTGCCAAATTCTGTTGGTCAACACAAGTCACATGACCAGCCCAGATTCACGAGGAGGGTAAATGGATGCAACGAATGGCAGTTTGCGGGCACTTCTGATGTACCACACCTGTCTTCTGGACACACTGCTCATTCACATTCGGCTCAGCCAGCACCTTGCCGCAAATCCTGGTTAATGCCAATTCCCAAATTGCTAGTTTGCCCCAATAATTATTTCTCTTTTTCCTTTCACTTTTAGTTGAACGTATGGCTGCCTAGAATACTTGAGTTCCCAGCCTCCCCTGATAGCTTGATATAGCAATATGCATGTGCTCTGGCCAGTGGCATATAGACAGGGGTGTCCTTAAGGGAAATGGCACATCCTTCTTGCTCTTC